ATCGTGATTTCTTGCCTACGTATAATTAATTTTTCATTTATTGTTTGCCATGCACGTGGCAATTGTATCAAATTCTCATTTCTCCAATTACGCTTCCGTTAGTTGTTTGATCAGTTTCTCACGATTGTGCTAGGACGATTATACAACTTTCAATATCCAACAATCTGTATCACACACGTGTCCCACGCTAAATAAAAGTTTCGATTAATTCGCTTAATTACTGCAAAATGTGTTTATCATGCGAGGCAAATCGAGAGTTTGCGATTCAATTACATATGTGCTCTTGATAAAACAATTATTTCTAGTTAAACTTATAACTATAAGGACAAATAAATGCTAGCGAACTTAAGTGAAAATAAAATTCGGAATTTTATTGTCGCGCGCTTATCATGGCTTACAAATTGCTTAATCAAACCGCATCGTCGCGCCAAATCCACAATGTGCAACCGTGAGGATTAACCACGAAAGATTACGATGTAATTATGTCGGTGCCGCATATGTAAAATGTTATCACAAATTTGTGACGTCATTGACATGCCGTATTTCTCTCGCTATTATCTCGAAATATATATATAGATATATTTCTCTTATTATTATCTCGTAATATATATATATATCTTTCTTTTTCTCTCTTTCTCTTATCAAGAACGGAATTCCGTTCCGAACTATTTTATATGATTATAATGTAATGATATACTTTACGCGGCATTTATTTTTTTGTATAAAATATGAGCATCATATAAGCAAAACACATTTTTTTCGACTTTTGTGGTATTAAAAGCAAAAATTTGCAGTTTGATTCTTACTGTGCGTTAGATGTAGCGAAACATTCCTAACAAGTTTGCTCTAGTTTTTACGTAAACTAAAAATTAAATCATGAAAAATATTTGTAAATTTTGTTTTTATGTATCTTGTACATGAAATACTTTTAGAAGGCTTTCCGTCACAATCAAATCAGTATTATGTAACTTCAAAATTATCTTAAAACATATTGCATTGTCTTTTAAAATATTATTTTTTTCGTTCGTTTAAATTAATTACATTCTGTGTAACAAAATTAATTACATTCTGTTTGTAATAACAGTTTATGAGTCTCAACGTTGAATTAAAACAGCCGCGTGAAAAGAAAACAGTTTCCGAACCAAAAAGCTTACGATGCTGACGACACACAGCACGCGCCGTTACGCGATTCAGACTGTGTGTATGTACACGAAGTTAAAGAGATCCCACCGCGATATATAAATGTCGCGTGATATGTATCCGCTAAACGTTGTTCTCGAGCGATTTGCTGGCGTCGTCGGTGTCTCGCTCGGTCACAGTTCTGAGTCGACATTCTGCAATTGTCTCCTAACGACGAGGAAGAAGTCGCGCGAGACATCGTGAAGCCGTTGGCCGCCGATCAGTGAGAGACCCGACCAGCTGGATGACTACGCGAAATTTGGAAAAAATGCTGCGACTCACCACTTTGTCGAGGGTCCGTTTTTCACGGTATACCAATGATTTAAAATAATCTTACGGCCGCGGTTCCTCGGGGAGAGATTTAACTCTATTCACAGTGGCAGAGATTGAAACTGGTACAGTGGTGAGTTGGGGGCTTTCGATTTTGCTAGGGATAGCAAAATAATAGACTTCACAATCTGTATTTTATTGCGTACACTTATCCAGTTTTGGAAATTGAATTTATGTTTGTACAGGTTTGAATTTGATTGTAGTTTCAATGTTTAATAATTGTTTTTAGTTTTTTAGTCGTATGATAATTTGATAAAAAAAGTTATGACTATATCTTAAAATTATAGATTTATAGCTCTTTAAGAAGCTTTTAGTCGTCTTAAGCAATAAAACATACATTCACAATTTTTTCTCATATTAACACATTGCGTTTTTATAATCGTTTTTTTAAGAAAAACTATAAATCATTATGTGAATCATACATCTATCTAATCTATCAATTAAATTGTGTTACACTGCGTTCTAAAAAATGATAAATTGTATTTTTTTTTTAAAGACTCAATCATTTTAAACTCATATATACTCGTCAACAAAATTATTGCAACATAAATTTATATTAAAATTTTTGTTAACTTTAAGTAAGCGTAACTCTGTGAAAAATGTACGTATTTAAAATTTTTTTTTTTTTTTCATTTTCAAGGGCAAAGTCAATACTTTAAAAAAATAAATTTCATCTTTATTTTCGCCTGCAATCTTTTCTAAGGAAGAGTTACATATCAAAAAAATTGCATAGTTTGACTATGGGGTGAAATGAATTTTTTTTTCATTGATAGTTTTTCCAAAGCAGCACTACACCGAAGCTGTATTCCATTTCACGCATAATGCGCATGATGTATCATTTTATTTTTATCTTTCGTCAAGTGTCAAACAAGGATAAAATGGTACATCTTGCACATTATGCGTAAAATGGAACGCAGCCCGAATAAGGTGGCAAATACCTCTCAAACCACAATTAGAGTTTGCATCAATATCTGTTTGTAATCATTTGAAAACAAGACGGGAATACCAGATTTTAAAGTGTAAATGCCACTCATTTCCTCAATGCTCACTCGTTTCCTCCAACACATACACATCCACATGATGCGCAAAATCCAATCAGCAACCTTCCATGGTGTGCATCGGATAATATTAATACTGGCGGTATATAATTGAACAAAAATGCGTAGATAATTATTTAATACATATTTTCATACACCGTATCTCCGCAACAAAAAATCGCACAAATCTTGATTTTTTTAAATTCGCAAAAAAAAGTCCATACTTTACGATGATTATAATAACATTTGTGAAAAAAATTCATTTTTCTCACAAAGTGTATCAAACTATACATTTTTTTTGGAAATGTAACTCTCTTCCTTATTTAAGAAAAGATGATAGGAGGAAATAAAGGTGAATTCAAAATTTATAAAAATCTTAAAGTACGGACACTACCCTTGAGGATGAAAAAAATCTTTTTAATACGTTCATTTTCAAAGTTATGATTATTTGAAGTTATGCAAAATTTGGGTATAAATTTACGTTGAAATTAATTTGTTGACAAGTGTAATTATATATTTATGTAAAATATTAATATATTTATTTGTATTAAATTGATGTATATGTTATTCTCAAAATAGTAGATTTTTTTCTTTAAGAAGCATTTTATTGTTGTAAAGTCGAATTGTATTGTTTCTCGTCATATTCATGAAGGAATTATTTTCACATAATAAAAAATGTATTTAAATGTTAAAATTCGGTAATTCTACGTGTGTGCATATTTTACTCATAGCAAATGAAAACCGTTTTCGATTTTCGTGCTGAATAGAGAACAGTTCAAAGAGAAATGCCATGCGGAAGGCCAAAGACGAACGTATTAGAATTGCGGCGGCGTTCTTCCGTAACAGTTTCGATGAAGACGACAATGATGGGAAGGAGGACAAAGCCGCACCAACAAAAGAATCGGAAAAAAATGTTTCACAAACAACCTCTGATGACGATTCGACAAAAGTCGAAAGAAAGACCAGCGTCACAAAAGCAGAGATTTCTTCAAAATTGGACTTACCTAGCCTTGAACTTGCGACTTCCACTTTATGCGTGAGAGATCGCATCTTTAAATGCTTACAATCGTTAAACTCCAGCTCGTCATCGAACAATGTAGACGAGTACGCAATATCAGATCGTCGTAACACAAAAGAAGAATACAATAAGAACAGTGATGTGATTTCAAAAATCGAAACACGGAGATTGTCAGTGCCGACGGATTCCGACTGTGTCTTCCCTTCCCTCAAACACGAAGATGTCATTACGAAGGAGTCATCTGCGAGGTTTCAACCTTCATCAATCGGCGACCACCCAATGCGCACTCCTACGAAACCAACTACTACGGCTAAATCGAAACAATCTCAATTGACGCCCGACTTCTTAAGGGTTCCTTCGGGATCTAGCGAACACTCTCGTTTCTCGACATTATCAGAACGATCGACAAGTGCGAAAGAACGCTCGGATGTCGAGAAAGTACATAATACAGTGCCACAACCATTGATAGCCGTTATTCGAGACAGTTTCGATGAGAAATCCAGCGGTGGTCGCAGATTAACATTGCCAATGACGAGCTCTGATTTGAACCAAACCTTGCTAAACCCTGCGACGAAGACCAGCCAAAAGTCGCCAACCTTTGACAATATCTTAGCTGGCACCAGCGTGAACCCAATCCGGAAGTCCAGCATAGCAAACGCAGCTATCTGTTCGAGTTTGGCTCCCAGCTTGCTCGGAGCTATTCCCGGTGTGCCGAATTCTCTCTTACCGAATGGAGACTACAATCTGCAACGAAGTGCCACGTTGTCGAATCTGTCAACCACCTCCACCACCATCAGCGACGACATTTCCATTGATAGAACGCGTCGCGGATTAAGATCGTTTCTTCGTCTTCACATACCCGAGTCGCATCCTGCGACCTGGCACGACGAGGACTACCATCATCACTTGCACAATCATCACCACCATCATCACCATGTGTTCTCGCACATTCACGTACCCACCATCACCTTCACAGCGCCAGCCACCGATGGTATCGGTCGCAAGTTTAACTTCGCCATCCGAAGGCATTCACAGGCGGTTAGTGTAGAGTCAGGATGCACGTCGTTTCGCCATTTTTGTTAACATTTTTTTTTCATTAACACCCAAGTTTGGCTATTTTTGCAATCAAGTAAAACATTTCTGATTTGGGAGAAGCTAATATAATATAAAATATTAACAAATAATATTTAGAAACTAAAGTAGATAATGTAGATTTATGATTTGTAAGGGCCTCACTTAGGGCATCTTTCACCAACTTCTGATTAAATTAATCGACGATTAACTCGCAAAAGTGCCAACAACAGTTTAATATATCAGTCTTTTCTCTCGTCCCCCCTCTTCTTTAGTTCTCACGTTGGCAATTGTGATGATTGAGTTAACCATCGATTAGCGTTAATTGGAATTGAAAGAGCCCTTACTCTAAATATGACGTCATATACATGCCTAAGAACTATCTATTCGAGTCTGGCACGGAGTTAAAAGAGATCGTACATATAGTGAATTTATTTTTAGCCTGAATTCTTTAAGTAATTATAATAACAGTCTTTAGCAATGAACTTTAATGTTTATTAAAAGAATAGGCGTGAAATAACCAAATTACGCTGATAAATCGAACAAATAAGGAAAATTAAAATTTGTTGTCATTACTTTATCGAGCATGAACCCGTACGACGATAATATCACGTGTCAGATATTGGCTAGATATTGACGTAAGTGACTCTATAACATTAGATTTGATTAATTCGTATACTAGCACATGCTCTGGTTAAAATAATTTGCGCTTTACATTGACACTCCTGTTTAAGATCGAATCGAGCTGAAACGATGATGACGCTCTCGTTACAAATAATAGAATACTAATTGTTGCAATTGCAGGCTGTCGAAGAACATCAACGCTTCCGTTGTCGACATAACTCGAGCTTTTATCTTATCGGACTCGTTGCATTTATAACTGATAACTAATCTGCAAGTAGGAACCGAATGTCATGGCCGTCTAATAGTTAGATAATTATTAAATAATTTAATAATTATCTTAGACAATAATTAAATTGTCTATTGTCCTACGTCATATTAATATGAATTAAATAATTTTACGAAATATTATAAGATTACTATAATTAAAAAGCTGAACGATTACATGCATTTCTATGAAACATATTAATCTTGCCACTCTGAAATTCTAAAAGTATTTTTTCAATCTCGAGATAAACATATAAAATTCAATTGAAGTTACTTCAATTGAAATTACATTTCACAAATTTTTATCACAAACTTTATGATTTTAAAACTACTACTGTACCTTTAACTTAGTAACAAACTGTAGTCATGACCAATAGATAATTTGATAAATCTAATATATACATTGGGCAACAAAATTAACGCAACACCTGTTTCACTATGCAAAAATAGGCAAATTTCAAAATACAATAACTTTGTCAAAAATTGTTGTATCGGGATGTTTAAAAAAGCATTTTACAGGTATAAATCTCTACTTTTCGGATCGCTACTTGAAAAAACGATCTCATGGAAATTTTATGAAATTATACAAACATAAATGAAGATATATCAGACCTCAAAATTTTTTATGAAATTTGCGAAGTTCCACGGAGTGGAATAAAAATTGTATACAAATGCGATTTACATCATTCGAAAGAGCGAATCTTTACTTTTAATTTACTTTTTTACGAAGCTCCGTACGATTTTTTTTCATTGAGTTATTCAACGTTGAAGCAAAAGGGCCAAAGTTATTATATCCTGAAATTTGCCTATTTTTGCAGAGTGAAACAGGTGTTGCGTTAATTTTGTTGTCCAGTATATGGTAGACTAATATCTGTGATATGAATTATATCAATAAAACGTTAGTAGGCACGCATTAGTGCCATGTGTCAAAGAAAATTTTGGAGACACATAACGGCAAATGCCACGTGCGCACGAAGTGGAATTTTGCCCGACTCGGTTCTGTCATCAATTTGATGGCTAATGCTCGCGCCGTATCCGTCGACACTTGCAAATTAACACAGTGACACTGATTTTATCTCGATATAAAACGCGCATTAGTATCGTCTGCTTTGATGCATATAATACTAAACCATGCGATTGCCAGATATTTCAGCATAGTGACAAAATCAACCGCATGAAATAAATCTGATCTAATGTATCTCTATGTGTATATGTTCGCGTGTGTGTGCTTATATCCGTTTGTATTCCCGCATCGAATTTTTATTCAGTAGAGCTCGGACCGTAGTAAACGACGAATGGTGCTGTAATCCCTGTAAGCGATTCTAGACATTGAAAAAAGAAACTTTTCTCTCAGGGTAATTCTGATTTGAGAATCAACGCTGAAGCACGTTTTAGAATTTTGACTTTGCATCAGACTTCAGATTTACATTTCTGACAGATCACCTTTCGTATTCTTTTATCAAGCATTTACTCGTACTTTTAGTCTAAACGTGAATTATCAACAAGATTATTAAAAATATCTGGATTTAACGTTAAGAAAGTTTATGTGACTTGTGTAATTTATTGGATCGTAGTACTTCATTTACATCATACATGTTTCTAAAAAATGTAAAAGTTACCAAATTCAGAGAAACTCAAAAGATGACATGTGACCTTCCGAAAATAGAGATTTTTAAAATTTATATTCTTTTTACTTTTAACGAAGTTATAGCTGCTTGAATGTTGAAGTTTGTATAGTATGAACTTTTATTCCACTCCAATATAATTTGTAGCAAAGTTTGCTGACTATTACTATCACTGTTATGCGAGGGAAGTATAGGACTTTCGCATGACAGGATTATGAGTATAATCCCGTCAAGGAGTGTATTTAGCATGATATCCTCTTACATATCGTAAATGCCAAGTCAATTTACGCACGTAGTTTTATCGATAATATACGTCGACGAAATATCATTAAATTATTGCCGTGGATCTTTTGATTAAAAAAAAATAAAATAAAATACATGATATTTACTACAAGATTATATCCCCGTTTGATGTTTAACCTACATTTGTGGTAGTAACATCTAAAATGTTATTATAGCATCTACATGTATGTAATTCCGCAACCGTAAAAGTCGGTGCACAGATCGCAGAGCAAATTCGATTTTAATCAGATTTTACCGTAAGTATTGTCTGAACGCGCAAAATTTTTTGTCACTAATTAGCTTGTATGAACTGGGCATGAGAAATAATATGAGTGTTGAACAAATAATAAGAAGAAAAGTGAATGAAATTATTTCGAACAAAATAAAAAGTTATAACGAAAAAAAATGACATGTGTATAAAATAAAAAATAGAAAATTAATTAATGTAACAATTAAAAATAGTTAACATAATAGGAAACAATAAATAATAAATAATAAAGTTAATTCGCGCAAATGGTGCATGGAAAAAATGATTCTATTTCTTTTATTCTGCTTTGCATCTAAAATTTACTATTAACATTGCTAACTTTTGTTCGCAGCTTTACTGCTTTCTCCACACAAGTACTTAGTCCCTTATCATTCGTGTGTCACTCATTATCGCTGACCCAGATTCTATTCCGCAAGATCGAAAAATGCAAGCAGCGTTTTCTAAATCTTTTGTCGCGAATGGAGAACGTACGCGTTGCATGCAGTTGCAAACTAAATTGAAACGATTACAGTTAATGTATAACACGCAATTCTTTCACGCATACTCATTGCTGTCGCCATTAAAATAAAATCATAAATCCAATATCGTTCGAGAACAGAGGAAAAACTCGGCTGGATACCGATCTCTGTTTTAACGCAGAATCGAAGCAAGAATGCGTTCTTTTATTTTACTTTGAAGTTGAAACTGAATGCTATTTACAGGCGCGAGCTTTAACAAGGAAACCGAGAAGTATGAGTCAGAATTTCAGAAATCTTAGGAGGTATATTTTTTTATTTATTTGCTTGGATTTTTTTTTAATACTTGCGAGATTGATTCAAAATCCCCTCGGGGATTCAAAATCGGTGCTTGCTCTGCATTCTGATAATTTGAAAGCTTACTTCTGTAACATGTTATAGCTCAGCTGCACCATTTGCGTCGAAGCACAATATATTATTGAAAACTAAACTAAATAGAGGTATAGATGTGTAAAGTTAGATAGTTTTGAATGAAAAGAGGTTTAAAAGATGAAATTTAGATAAACCCAAAGAGATCCAAAAATTTTTTTAATTTTGTGCTTGACAATTATGATATTTCTGAATAAAGGAATTGAATCATGCAATTTGCTATATATTTCGCACATGTGTTTTTTCTGTGAGCAGCGATTGGATTTACTTAATTTTTCTCGAGTTTTTTTTTCTAACGAATTTTTAATAGCAGGAAAAATTGGACACAGCATCGAAATCTTACGACAATCGCTCTTGATTTTTCTAGACATTGCATCGGACTGACTCGATGGTATCGCTTTGTTACCGATCACTCGCGAGCTATATCTCAGATGATAATCTCGTCGGACTGCAAAGCTTCCTCGAAAATAAGCGAGTGCAGATCGACGACAGAGATGAGGTAAGTGATCATGAATCGCTCGAAAAGATGTTCAAAGATCATGTGCAATCAGAAATTCCAGAATATTAAATTATAATAGCAATCGATATAAATAGACGATAAAAATCTCATTCTCATGGGGTAGAAAATGTTGAAGCAGAAATAATAATCTAAGAATAATTTATAGTCTCTCTGGGTTAATTAAATCATGAATAAAAAATTCATGGCTACGTGAAGGAAAGTTCTTTCTGTATTCGTTGTTGTATTTAAGCTGTCGAACTTTCTTTGACAAATTATTCTTTTATATAATAGAACGGTAGTACCGCCCTCATCCTTGCAGCAACTAAGGGAAAAATACACTTTGTTCGAGAACTCATCAATCATGGAGCGGACGTTAATGCTGAAGACGCAGTTAGTATCCGTTTGATTATATATATTAAATAAAAATTTATATATTTACAGTATATTTACGTTTCCGTATAATTTCAGGATAATTGGACAGCGTTACTGTGTGCAGCGAAGGAAGGCCACACCGAAATTTGTCTCGAATTGCTCGAGCACGGCGCCGATTTGGAGCATCGAGACATGGTCAGAAGAAATTGCACACTTACTAGCCTGACATAATGCCATTAATGAAACCTCATTATATTTGCAAAAATTCTATCCTTTTTCGTTTTATCAAGAGTTTTATCGTCTCTTTTTCATCGAAATTATTTCCTTTAAAATACAGAGATATTCCAAAGTTCACAACTCAAAATGCTATAGCAAGCAAATTCTTAAAAAATTTAGTTAAAAAGTTATTTGTAAATTTTTATTTTATGCAGTAATTGTTTAAATACACAAATTTAAATATGCCAATTACAGACTACGTTTAAACCTGTTCACGACACGCGCATACAGTGAATAATATTAATGAGTGCATACTTCAACGCTGAGCTTATCGGATGATCATCTAAATAGTCTGTAATTGACTATATTTAAACTTTTATTATCTCAGAAACAAATAACTTTTTTATTTATTTTTTTAAGAACTTTCTTGCTACTGTATTTTGAGTCACAAATTTTGAGACACCCTGTATAATTCTATTAAGATTTTTAATATATTAGTATATCACACATTAACATTTTTTAATAATATCCTCTATTTATTATTTAATATCACTATATACCTATGTTATGTCGACCAATTTGTATTTTAGCTTTCAATAGAAAGATATATAAATATCTTTGTTTAAAAAAATTGACGTTGTAGATAAAAAAATTGAAGAGGTTTTTTTTATTGCAGGGTGGATGGACGGCGCTCATGTGGACAACGTACAAGGGTAAGTCGGCGACGGTGACGATGCTGCTGGGGCGCGGAGCTGACGTCAACGCGCATGGAAATTTTCATATATCCTCGTTAGTATGGGCCGCTGGCAGGGGTTATACTGATATAGTTAAAGATCTCATTGCTCACGGAGCGAAGGTCAATGTCGGCGACAAGGTAATTGTCAGCGGATGTACTATAGATCAATGGCCAATGCTTTACTCTTGCGATACTCATGCTCATTATTTTTTCAGTATGGGACAACGGCACTTATATGGGCATCGCGCAAGGGAACCATAGAAATTGTTGATAATCTTCTTAAAGCTGGGGCCAATGTCGACACAGCAGGCATGGTAAGATCGATAAATCATAATAAAAAATAATACGGAAAAGTGATGGGTTCCAAGTTGATGAAAAATAATAGTGGTAAAATTATTGTGAATAGAAACTTTTTAATATAACAAGAAATATTTCAGAACTTTTCTAATTTTAGATATAAAAATAATTTGTGATATTTATGTCCTTTTAACGCGCGACTTTCTTTGTAGTATTCATGGACTGCTCTGGTCGTGGCAACTCTCGGTAATCACGTGGAGGTGGTATCGCTACTATTGGAGTACAAGCCCAACGTCAACGCTCTAGACAAAGATGGTTGTACCGCCCTAGCGATTGCCTGCCGTGAAGGTCATCACGAAATAGCGAATGCACTTTTAAATGCCGGTGCTTACGTTAATATTCAAGATCGTGCTGGTGATACGAATCTGATCCACGCGGTTAAAGGTGGCCATCGAGGCGTGGTGGAATCACTGCTGAAAAAATATGCGGACGTCGACATCGCTGGAAAGGTACGAATCAACTTATTTTTCCTCATACTCGCGTATCTTTCTCGAAGATCGACTTGGAAAATATTAAACTTTTCACCGTGCATTGCGGTTCCCAATTATTGATCATTTCGGTAAGACGGATTGTTACGCGTGTCGAGAGTTCCACATGGTGAGATATGTAAAACTTGTTAAAGTAATCACTATATTCAAGCATGATGGGTATTTTAATAAGAGACAATCTTATGATAACGGATCCGGTCTTGTGGTATTCTTAAGCCACTTCGAGCTAGGTTCATGACACCCTCGCAATACTTTTGAATCGTTCCAATCGAACTAACGACCCCGTCCATATATATTTTAGGATA